AGACAAGGACTAAAATTATTCCATCTGTACAGTGCTAATGAATACATGCTATTCCTGAACTATCACAAAATTCTGAGCCATGAATTTTGATCATGTTTGAACAGTTATTTATAGGCACAAACTCCCCTGGATTTTTAAAAACCCTTTTCATAAAAAGCTTTGTATCTTAAAGTTTTCATTTTTGCTGTAACCCATTCACAATACTTTTATCAGTTGTACACTCCTAAAACTCCATAGTTATATTTTATCAAAGATGAAGAAATAATATACAACTTCTTACTGTACAAAATATTGTAAAAAGTGTATGGCCAGGAAACAGTTAAACGGATCTTCTCCAGCTGTTTCCAAGCCACTCATTAGGGAAGCACCAGCCCCCCACCCCCCCCCATTTTACAAGTATGTTTTTAAACCAGTTTTTTTCCCACCTCACCTTTTTTTTTTTTTTTTACTATAGCAGATTTCATTACTGCATGGCAGGATGATTCATCCATTCCTGGCCCACAAAGTCCTAGATTTGGTTCTTACACCTGGAATCATGCTTAGGAGCTAGACTGTTGTAACTGCATGGAAGAGAACTTCTGACCCATATATATCATATATACCCTACAAAAGATACCTAAAGAATACCCTTCCTTGAGGGGGCTCCCTGGTAACTTTCATCCCTCCTTCCCTGTCAGCTCTTGACCTAAGGGGTGTGGGGACGGCTGGAGGATCAGTGCCTTGCTGTGCACTGGATCTCCCTGAGGACATGAGAGACTGTCTCCTACTGACAGCTCAGCAGGGAAGAGGGGAGGTGATGGTTAGGAGTATCCTGACTCACTATCCAGAGCATGGAGATGACCAAGATGTTTCTGTGTTTCTGTGGAGAACAGGCTCACAGTCTGCAATTCTGGCTGTGTTTGCCAAGGGCAAAGGGTAACTATCTTACACAAGCTGTTTAGTCTTCCACTTATCTCCTATTTTCTGGTTCCTTGGGAAGCTTCTCTTCATCAGCAGGGCTTTTAGCTCATTTCTTTGAAGTCTGTTTTCTAAGACACTGTAAGTGTGCTTTGCAACAGTTCAAAGACCATCTTCTCTGCTTTCAGCAATTCCATATTGAACCGTAGCTTTGAATTATGCAATCAGTAATTTAACAGGAAATTTTTACTTTAAAGACTCTATTTATTAAAGTGCAGATCTTAAGTTCTTAAATCTTAAGGAAACAAGATTCATAATGAATTCTACATCTATTACCTCAGAGTGCCATGAGTTAGGAAGATCAGATCTTTTACCTTGGATCCATTTGATCCCTTCAATTCCCTTGCCTGTGGAGATGCCCAGAGTCCAGGTCTTAGAGGAAAGGGTCAAACCCTGCCAGAAAGAGATCTCATCTTCTTGTCTACCACCTAGAAACAAGTCTTAGATCCCAGGCCTGAGATTTAGCATCCCCAAAGTGTATCATACTGAAAAGGAAGATTTGCCCTCTCCTCATTCATTCTTTCCCAAAGTGAGTTGTGCATGAGGTGGTACAAACCAGTGACACTGATAGATGAAAGAGTTAATATTGGTGGCAACCTGGTAGAAGAAAACCAGGGAAAGGCTTAGCTTGCCATCTGGAGCAGATAACTTTAAAACAGCCTGGGAAATGGGGTTGAAGATGAAGTAACTGGGATAAGAAACAGGCTTCCTCACTTTTTCAGTGCAGCAATCTGGAGGCATTGCAGCTGAGCAACTTCTGGCAGCATCGCTGCACATCTGTAGCATCCATTGGAAAGTAAACAGCATCAGTGAGCTGGAAAGACTGTTTTCCTTACTGACTCCCTGCAGCAAATCTCTCCCAAGCTCAAAGAAGAAGAAAAATCTGATGTGTATTTTCCTAGGACTTGTTTGCATCTGTATTCATTGTTCTTTAGTATGTTATGCTTAGTATGTTTGGCTCACTACAACCAGTTAATGTTCTATTGACTAAAAAATACAGTAGTTTGAAAAATTCTCAGAAATTAACTTATTTGGGAAGGAAGGACAGAATCATTCAGAAAAAGGGGAAGTGGTGCAAGACAGTGCATATTCAGTCCTCTTTTCAAAAACTTCTTCCCCAAAATGAGAATTGCTGGAGAATGCCTCTCTCCTTCCCTCCCTCTGCTGATCTCTTCCTTCCTTGAACCAAACTACAGGCTCTGGCAACAAGGCAGCTAATAATAAACTCCTCAGCTGAACTCTAGGAAAGCAGCTTGGTCAAGGTTTGCCTGCCAAATGCTGACCAACACACGTTCTCAGCTACCAGCAATGACTGACTGCTAGCCATGTTTTATACTTTAGCCTTCTGTCCCTCAGAGCACATTTTGCTCCAAACAGGACCTCCCAAATGATGGAGTCAAAGGTACTCGGCTCATGGTCCACCTATCATGTCTCATGTACTTGGAGCATACAGGGACTTCTCCAACCACAATATATTAACACAACTTCTCTTGCACTACAACTCCTGAAACAAAAACCCCACTGCTGTTTTTATCCCTGCCCACACCAACAGGCTGTACAGGAACTGTGCTGGCGTTTCTACAGTGCCAGCCAGCAGACAAATAGGACTTCTTTCAAAATTACCTTTTATCAAGGCTTGTGTAATAAAACTTGGTTCTTGCCTTGGGATCTCCCCAAATCTGCCTTATTTTAGCAGGAAAGACACAGGGCCAAGAGGGATCACCGAGGCAGCAGGCATATTTCCTACTGATCAGGCAGGACCTCAACTGCATTTTGGCCTTAAGAGCAACTCTGGTGCTTCACTTGAAATGCTGATCCAGCTGTCCACTGAGTTTGGAGCCTTTAAAAGTCATGCAGGTCACCTTTCTGTCTGGAGGAGCTCAGTGCCAGGTGAGGAAGCAGCCAGCACTGCTGACAGCACGAGGCTCCTGCTCTCTCCAGAGGCTGCTCAGAGGCTGCCTGGAAACGCAGCAGAGACTGTAGAGGTGGGACCACACTGAGTCAGGTTTCCTGAAGGGGAAATAAACCCTTTATGGGACACAAAAGCATGAGCACCTACAGTCAGACAGCATGTATGGTGGTGCAGTGATGTGTGGAAACCAGGCTAGCCTAGCTCCTCCCTGAGCTGCCCCATGAAGCTGGGAAAGATGATGAGGGTACGGGATGAAGTCTGGGCTCCAAAATAGTATGGACAAAGAAGGCTACTTGGATTGGGACCCTACTGAATTACACAGCTCTCACCAGTGCCAATGTCATGGCTTCATGATCCCCTTCCCCCTTTAGTCAGGCTCTTCTGTACTGCAGATACTTGGGATACCTCTCTGACCACAGCAATGCTGCTCTCCTGAGGCATGAGGCAGTTATGGTTGGTACCTAAGGGTGGAACTACCCTGACTCCTCCTCTTGTGGTGAAATCTCCTCCTACCACTTTCAGGCTGCCAGTTCTCTCTTCCCTCCATGCTGCCTCAGCATGCACAGCAGCACAAACATCTCTGGAAATGGTTTTGTATTTCTAAGGGGAGAAATAACTCACCTTGGTAGCATGACAATAGGAAAGGAGAAAGAAAGAAATGATAGCAAGTTAGCTTTCATGTCACAGCAGTGCATTTACTATCAGGACAGTAAGGATAATGGAGTACCCACTTCTCACTAAAATCTTTTTTACTGCAAGAGAGTGCTGACCAGGGATAGCCAGGTAGAGGATAACACCAAGGGAACTTATTTTTATAGCTGTTAATGAATACCAATATTTTTTACTTATTTGGAGGTGACAGAAAACAGCATTTCTTTCTATTTCTCAAGATCTGATTTGCTTCTTTGCTATTCCAGGGCTTAATCACAACAACAACAACAACAAAAATGAGACAAACAAAAGGAAAACGACAAATAGAAAAGCAAAAAACCCTGTGTGCAGCCTTATGGAGGACTTTCCAAGCCACAGATGCTGGCTCTGTGGTTGGTGGATCTATCCAAAATAAAGCTCAACAGCAGGGAGCAGTGGAATAGTTCAGGGGGTAGAAAAGGTCATGCGAATGTGATCCCCACCTCCCAAACTCCACATCTCCTTACGCTGCCTTCCCCTGCTCCTTTTAGGATAGAAGGAACTTTTACTTATTTTTTATTTTTGTTTTCAGCCTGGCTTTCCTATCCACTTGCCAGCTGGGGTCATTGAAAGTGACTCTTGCTGCAGCCACTTTCCCAGGACAGAAGAAATGAGGTGAACTATTATTCTGATGGCTTATAGGCAAAAAGGCACCAATAGCTTTGTTGATGAGCCCCTTTGGCTGCTCCAAGACAGAGCTGGCACTGTGGGAGCTCAGAGGCCACCATGTCACCTTCCCCTTGCCACAGGGGCAGGAATTCTCCTGCCCTGGGCCAAACTGTTGACTGCAGAGACTGAAGTGTTCTTCCAACAGAAAGAGACCACAGGGGCACTGAAGGGTGCTAACCTCTGTGCACAGATACGTGGCACTACCCTCCTCACATGAGAAGGCCATTTTGGGTGAACAGACATAAAAAGAAGAGGAAAGTGGAAAAAGGGAAGAAAGTGAGTGACCTCTTTTTAATAATCTTTGGCATCAGAATGCAGTCATATCTTATACTTTTCCTTTGAGTGGAGTGCACAGCCTATGTCATGGCTCAGCTTCCAGTACAACTTCTGCAAGTCCACAGGAGATCCCATGAAACCACTCTGGGGAAAACCTACAAACTGCTGCACACCAGTCTGATCAGGGCTGAAGCAATGCCCAGCTGGGCAAAGGACATGTAAGAGGCATGGCCCCTTTTTTCACAACCAGCACCTTCAGTACTCTTCAGGTGTGGGCTTCAATTTCCTAATGAAAGAACTAGTTTGGAAGCCTTATGTTTGCCAAGAAAATAAACCAAGTCTAAACATCATACCTTCCTCTGGGAGGACATTGGATGTAGATGATGGGACTGTATCTCTATGTTTCAATGCTGCCAGCAAGAAAGATTTTCATAACAAGTGTTTGATTTACCCTCAGCACTATGCAAAAGCAAGCTGAAAGACTGCTGTCACTTACCAAACCTCTTGTAGCCGAAGGACTGCACCTCCTCCTCCTCCGCAAAGTCGTCTGGAGAAAGAAAGACACAGCAGCAGGTTATTACTACTACCACTGGAAAAAGATGAGAATAAGTTTTTACAGGTGCATGGTCATGAATTAATGTAGCTTTACTTGGTTTGTTAGGCATGCTACTGCTCTTCTCCTCTGCTTCTCCTATCCCACCTCTGTCTCACGTGCAGAAGGCAGCTCAGAGCCTTTGCCCCAAGGAAAATCCCCAGCAGAACTCTGGATTACAAACTGTGCAGATTTATCACCTGGCAGCCATCCCGAGGCCTGCTTGGCCAGCCAAGTGCAGACCAGAGGAGATATGTCCCTCATAACAATGACAGCCACAATTGCCACCAGTGTGCCACTTGGTCAAGCTTGCCTGGACCACAGGAGTTAGAGAGGATGGTTGTCCGTCCATCCATCCATCCATCCATCCATCCATCCATCCATCCATCCATCCATCACCTCCCATGCACACTAGCTTGGCCTGAAAATGTCAGATCTGATAAAACAGGGGAAACTGAACAGGTAAACTCAGATGAGAAAAATGAAAACCAAGATGGTGAAGACTGTGAAAGGTCTAGAGGGGAAGCTGCATGAGAAGTGGTTGAGGTCACTTGGTTTGTTCAGTCTGGGGAAGACTGAGGGAACACCCATGGCTGTCTACAACTTCCTTGGAGGGGAAGTCGAGGGGCAAACACTAATGATAGGGCCTGGGGGAATGGAAGTTGTGGGGAGGTTTAGCTTGGCTGTTAAGAGAATATCAGGCTCCCCAGGGAAGTGGTCACAGCAGCAGTCTGCCTGAGTTCAAGAAGCATTAGAACCATGTGCTCAGATACATGGTGTGATTCTTGGGGCTGGCCTGTGCAGGGATGGGAGTTGGATTTGATCATCCTTGAGGGTCCCTTCCAACTCAGGATATTCTATCATTCGATGAGTCCATTATGCCTTTTGTTCTCATCTTTATGGTAAGCAAGCAGTAATACACTAATAATCACAAGGTTATTTTGTCAGAAGCGGAATTTCTCTCAATTTCCTTCCGTCAGTGAAGGAAAAGGCTGGCATCAGCAAAAAAAATACACCCATGACTTTTAAAAAAAATAGAATATATTTGTGTTCATGTGTTCAGCCTCCTTCCATCAAGACAACCCCTCGTTCTGCTGACTCAGGAAAGGCAAAAGCTCTGCCTTGTCACCAGCACCAGCCTCTACAACAATTGCTGGGAGGGCAGCACAGCCCAGGCTGTTCTTCTTCCACTTCTGTATTTCGCAGAGGGAACATTTAATGACTGGTGGAGGAAAAGCAAGCTCAAAGCAGGTAAATGTGTGATGGAGTGAGAAGTCTGTGTTTAGTTAGACGTCTTTTTGCCCACAGACTTACTGCACATGACTGGGCTGCTCTGCATCACGAAACTGGGCTAACTGGTGCCACAGCTAACTTGGGACAGCACAGAGCCTTGGGGGGTGAATCCAGAGATAAAGATACAGTCTGCATCCAGGCTCAACAAAGCCTAAATGATTTGCATGCATGCCTCCACTAGGAAATCTGACTTGTTTCTCCTTCTGACCTGTGAGGTGCCACACACAGAAGCCTGAAGGAGGCTTTGCCTGAAGAAGCAGCGGAGTCCATGAAATGCATCACTTTGCAGAATATCACCCTTTACTCAGACAGCACTATTGATTAAACAGCTAAAAACATATTCTTCACCAGGTAAGACATTTTGCTTACTGCCAACAGCATTCCTGTCCATATCTTCAGCTAGACTCCCAATTCAGATGTGCATTTAAGAAGTGGAAGAGCCAGTGGTTGCTCCTTAGGCAAAACAAACACATCCTGGTTTTGAAAAAAAAACAAAAACCCAAACCAAACAAACCCTCACAACTGTCCCAAACGTTATCTGAAGAAAAGGGCCCCAATGGAACATGACAAATACTAATAAACCATAAAGAGTCAACAATCAACTTCTCATCGCAGCAGTGAGCTACTCAGGAAAGATCTTCCCCTCCTGCACAAAAGATAAAATGCTGCACAAAATAAGATAACAGCTCCAGAGACCTTAGCTTCCTGCCCTCTCCTGCTATCAGGCTGCAACACAATCGCCTCCTTTGTTTGTCAGGAGTGTAACCTGGCTTATCCGATCAGTATCTGATGTATACAGCCAGGCACATCTGATGTGCAGCTTCATCCCACACCACATCTCCAAGACCTTCCTCTCAGGCTGACAGCCCCTTCCCTAGTCTTCTTGTTTTTCATTCTTGACCAACAGCATTGGGTTTTACAACTTTAATCACATTTTTGTTTCTTTGGCCATTTCAGTATATGCAACATGTTTATATATGTACATTTTATACATTTCTATACACACATATACTTTTAAATATATGTATATGCTTTTCAGTATTTGCAATTCAGCATGTTATTCATTCTAGGGATGGTTTTTTTCCTTAAGCTTTGAATACATTATAATTATTCATTCACCTCCTAATTCTAAAGAGCACTTCTGATATTTGAAACAAAGAAGTGGAGATGGGCAAGGACAGTTATATCAAGTGGTAACTTGTCTCCCTGGTCAGTAAAATCTCAAACATCATCCCCGTGAGTTGATCGTGCAAGGGGCAGTCAATGTAATTTTAGAGGAAGTCTATGAAAATTATTTAACAGAAAAAGCTCAATGTTCTTTCAGTCACAACTGCAACTTTGCTGAAATCGTGCAAATAAAGCACTTAACAATATTAACGATAATGTAAGAAATTAATAAAGCAAGCTTAGAATAAACATTCAGAAATTACGGCACTTGGGAAAAAGAGACTAAGATGGGTTGAAGGTCCTACCTCAGAAGAAGTCGATGTTTGAAATATTAAAAATTAAGTTGACAAATGAGCCTGTAAATTTAAGTCCCAAAACAAAGCCCTGCACCCAGCCTGCTCCTCCCATGCCTGTAGGGCAGTATTGTCCTCAGTGGAGGCAGCAGAACCTTGATCCTCAGCTCCCTGTTCCAGTGCTGGAAATATTAAAATTTTGTCACAAGTTCTACAAAAATCTCAAAGCTTCCTGATATCTTCAAATCAGCAGAATACAGGAGAACCTAAGTTTCCATTGAAAAGGTAACAGTTTTTCTAGTGAAAACTATGAAAATGTGATCTGTTATAAATTACAGAGGTTAAGAAAATATACACCAAGTAAGAAGGCAAATACTATGAACACCTCCAGTATGTTTTAATGACATATGCTTTTAAAGGCAGTATCAGAAATCATTGTGGCAGAAATTCATGAGCTCTTAGAAAACGGAAATTCTGGGTTTTCACATCAGTGGTGCCCATACTTGAGTGAGTCTGCAGCTGGCGTAGGAGGGGTTTGTTTGACATTGTGAAAGCCTTAAGTTAGAAATATTTTTCTTTAGTTTAAGTCCAGTCCTTCTTAGTTACAAAGAGGACTGGAATGAATGCAGTGTTCCTGTTACATACATGCATTAATACGCAAGCAAGGCTTATTTTCATGGGTGAAAAATATGAAGGGCCGACTCCTCCTTGCAGCAGACAATCAAGCAGAATTTTTTATGTCCTGGTCACAAGAATGAACTCTTCAGTATGGGGAAGATCAGCCCTAACTCATTTGTAAGCCATTCAACTGAGCTCTCAGCTGTGAACAAAAAGATAGAGAATCCAGAATAAGAAAGACAAAGTGACTATTATTCCACTGACTTGTACAGAACTCTGCAGGAAGGTCCATAAAAAAGGTGAACTTTGGGCAGAACAGAAACATATGTGAGCAACCAATTGTATTTAACCATGCAGGGGAAGGGACACTAGAGATGTCCTGTTTTATTGGGTTTACAAGAGTCTCCTTGAATGCTAGGACAGATTGCCATGGGGAGCTTACAGCAAACTGCACCAAATCATTTTGTCTCACTGTGGCTGAACAGCAATACATCAAATATTTTAGGGAGTCAGTGTCAAGCAGAGTTCTAGTCCAAAAAAGTAAAAAAAAAAAAGCTTTGAGATATTTTGGCAATATCCATGGCCCATTGAGTACCAATGCCAAATCCCACTTGCCTTCCAGTTATAAGCTATTACTGCAACACCTCTAGTAAATATAGTTGTAGAGTTAAATAAGTTACAGTACAATGCTTCAAGGGAGTGGGAATTATGAAAAGGCAGTTCAGCTGGGGATTAATGCAGCGAACAGAGGGAATTAATTTAATCTAAAACAAATTAGACTCTCATTTGATTAATTTGCTAGTGGCAAAGTAAATCTGTGGAGTAGAAC